CCCACCTCTACAGTTAACTGAAGCAAGTCTGACTTTGCGTGATACCACCCCACGTCGATAAACTAACAGATTCTCTCCACCTATCTTCTTTCTTTAAGGAAGTACATTAAGGAGAATCTAATAGTTGATACACTCACCTCTGATACTGTAGGGTGGATACCTATAGTTCTGTCGAAGTCTTTTTTCGTGGCTCCTAACTTAATGGCCACAGCATAGCCCTGTGTGACTTCTCCAGCGTTTGGACCAAGGACGTGAAAGCCGACAACGCGCTCCTGCACAAAAACAAAAGGCGAAGTTAACCCTTTCAGTATCAATGCTGCTGAGTTCCTACAGCGGCCAACAGAATAGGTGCAGTTTTACCTTTCCGTTCCGTAATATTGAACGGTCTACTTAGTTGCTACGGTTTTCGTATAATAACCAGTTGATGAAGACCGCAGTAGCATGCAATACTTACATTATCACTTTTGTTGCAAACAAGCTTTGCATAGCAGCCGGACATGTCTCGTTTGGCGACAGTGTACTCCAGAGGTTGGTAATTAGTATGGTACACTTCCACATTCTCTTCCCCAAACTTGGCAATGGCGTCTTCTTCAGACAAACCAATGCAGCCATACTCTAATGGGGTAAACACTGTTGTGGCGACGTTTACATAATCGCACTAAAACAGATACATAGAAGTTAGTATTAGGTAGCGCTGAAGACCTGGATCAAGTGGTCTGGGTTTCAAAAACTTTCGGTCACTTCGCCCTGTGATTGGTCCAGAATTCTCGCACCAGTCTCTCAACCTAAGAGACGCAAAACTAAAACCGATCACGCCTTTGGTCCCCCGCTTTTTCTCGCTTTCAAGCAATTTGCTGGTGTTTAATTGAGTTCTTATTGGCTCTTTACGACAGTTTCCTTTCTTCTGATTGGCTGTTCTTATTTGGCCTGTCGCGTTTCCACGCGCTTCAGACAGTTTGATTGTTTCTCGGAGAGCTCTCACTGGTTCCTCGGATATTTTGGCTTCTCTGATTGGCCGTTGTGATTATTTTCATAAAAGATTTTACGGTAATCAATCGTAAATTTGGTCATTATCACTTCTTTGATGGAAAAAATGAAAGGATGTCATTCGAATCCAGCAATTTTCAACTGAGTATTTCACAAACGACACAAACAAAGGCCTCCCTGTATCACAAAAAAAAATTAATACGGGAGTGAGGCGTAACTAAGATAGCAAGATGTGGAATCCAGTCTCTTCACGCATGTTACAATACACGGGATCGAGGCCTACACGCCTCTAGTCTATGATACTACAAATGAAGTTGCGAGTTTTACTTACCAGTTCGTTTTTGTCTCCATACAAGCGATGTGCAAGTAATCTACCTGCCTGAATGGCAACTGGAGTGAGTTCCAGTTTGTCATCCAAAATATCTCCAATACCATAAATATTTGGCACACTAGTTTGCTCATTGTCTCCAGCGACCACTTTTCCATTCCTACAAGAGAAGAGACATTTGCTGTCAGTCAAGCGTGGGTAACGATTCACCCTTCACATGTTGACATCATTATACACATTCTCCATGCATTTTTTTTTGTACTGACCATCGGTTTCACAGGCAAAACTTCTTAGGATGGCGATCAGTTTAAAAGCTACGTTTTCGACAATGTTAATGCTTAGTAGCAGGTGTGACGCTTCTTACATATGAACCAAATAGTAAACTATCTCATAAAGCGTTCTCTTTGGCACAGAGGTAAGCACCAGAACTCGACGTTCAAATCCTCGTGGGAGACTAAAAATTATCAGCTCTCTATTCCACGTTCGTTTAAAAACTTTTATGATATGATATCTTTCCTCGTTCCTACTTTACTTGGTAGTGAGAAGAAAAAAAAAAAACACAAGTGACCATTTTACCCCGTGCCAAACCCACCAACTCAGTCATGCGAC